GGAGCTCCGCAGTCAAACAACAAAGACTCGAGTCCAAACACTCCGGAAATACAACCGCAGATCTGACAGCAGTCACATCCCTGGTAATTTACTTTCTCCGATTCATGTTTGATGTCATCCAAACACACAGATAGAAATACATGTGTTATTTTATTTGGCTCAATACATCAAGTGCGGAGGCCCCTCTTGGGTTTAGGGGGAGAACACCCACTGCTTTTAAAGTTAAAAACGGCAGCTGGGCTTCTCTTCTATAAATGCCATATCGTCCCACCCAGCTTTTCGGTGCGTAACTGAGCCACGCCAGGATTCCTTGTCCTAATAAATAGTTTGGGCGAGCGCTCGAAGCTAGGACTTTTTATGTGAGGCTCTCAGGTTTGGAGGAGGGTGTCCTGAAGAGTCCTCAGCCTGGAATTAACCTTGTCGTCCCGCGTAGCGGCACTGTTTAGTCTGCAGCGTATTGAGGCGAGGATCCACAGTGCCCTGCGCTTCACACCGGCCTCAGTCAGCACCTGCCAGCATCACAAAACACACATATTTGGGTAACCAGCCCTCACAATTTACACTGGACCACTGAAGTCATTGAGATGACTTCAGTGGTCCAGTGAAGTCACTGAGATGAGCATATGAAATGTGTAGTAAAGTAATATTCATTATTTACTCTCATATTACAAACCCTGGTATTTTTCCAGTGGAACACAGAGAAGAATTAAAAAAAAAAACTTTTTCTTACAATTCTCATATAGGATTGTGACTTTTTTTAATAAAAAGTTTTAATTTTGTAGGGTGCAGGTCACACCCCTCTGTGTATTTCAACATGAAAAAATTATGTGTTATTGTTTGAATGAATGATGTATTTATATAGCGCTTTATTGTGTATTGTTGTAACAATTATTATTGTGCTTTACCAGCAAAGACAAAGGGAGAATTAATACACGTATGGCTGAAGAAGCAGAAAAGGTCTGAGGCCAAAAGACAGAAAGACCAAAAATGAGCTCAAACATTGGTTTGG